CAGGTCATTGGCCCCTGCCCCAGCTGTTCTGAAGGAGATCAAGGCCTGGGCTGCTGAGCCACATCTGCCATTGGCAGCCACTGGCCTAGGTCAGGAGAAGTCAGGCTGGCGGGGCCATGTGCATTATGTTGTGGAGAAACGGTGACATGAGGGAAATAAGAGACTGGCCGGAAGGGAGTGGCACTCAGGAGGTAGCTCAGAGGGGCCAAGAGGAAGGAGAGAGAAAACTGACCAGAGACGGGCCGACCTCTGGGGCTTGGCATCCCCCATGAGCAGCAAGGGGAACCTGGGTCCTCATCTTGTCAGCCTTTCCTGAGCTTTGTTTTCCTTGTCTGCAAAACGGGGGCAACTGCGACACCTGGTGCAAGGGATTATTGTGAGGGATAGAAATGCAACATGCAGTTACTAAAGGGACTGCCATCCCTGGGGGATGGCATTAGTCTTCCTGTCTTTCCTGCCTCACAGGTTCAGGGGAGAAGGGGGAAGTGAATGGGGTGTGGTGGGTTCACTGGGCTGGTGAGGTGGTTTGGCCACCCTCCTGATGCCACCTCCCTCCCTACAGGTGTGAATGACAGAGGTGGTGCCATCCAGCGCCCTCAGCGAGGTCAGTTTGCGCCTCCTCTGCCACGATGACATAGACACCGTGAAACATCTGTGTGGTGACTGGTTCCCCATTGAGTAAGTTAAGCAGCACCCACTGCCCCCAGTTGCAGATTGGGGGGGTGGTTGGGGAACTAATGAGGGGAATGCACACTAATCTGCAGTGCTGAAGCTGGCAAGCTTGTGTGAAGGTAAGGATGGCCTGGAGGTGCTGTGGTAGCCCTGAGTCACCTTGCCTGTCGGTGAATCCCATGCCCTGCTCCGTGATGGCCATTGGGCCCCATCCACTTCACTGTATTCCTTGAAGAGTCACCAAAAGGGCTTTGCTGAGAAAATAATTACAAAGATGTTCAATGCAGTGCTATTTATAATTCAGGAATTGAGAAGCAGCTTAAGTATCTTTTTAAGAGTAAGAAATTGGTTATATACATGAGGGTTTGTATATAATACAAAAATGCAGTATTATTTAGCGAGGTAAATATCTGTCGTTGACATATTTGTTGACAATGAGGTTTTTTTTTTACTAGATATTAAATGAAAAAAGCAGACTAGAAAATAGTATGTATCACAATTTCACTTTCACTTAAAAGCATGCACAAGGTAAAAGCTTATGAAGATATGTACCATTTAACAAAGTGTTTTTGGTAGTTTGGGTATGTAGTTTATTAGTATGTACAAGTTCGTCTGATTTTGCTTGTCTGTATTTCCTTTAATTTTTTGTAATATGCACATAGAGCTTTTGTCATGAGAAAAATAGGTATAAACTTCTAAAAATTAAAAATAAACAAGATCCTGCTAAACATCATATTCCATGAGTCTTAACATTAGATTTTACCCACTACAGGTAGAAAGAGAGAGAAGGGGTGCCCTTTACATCTCTGATGGGAATATGAATTATCACAGCTTTCTGAGGATATGGGCTAGCAGTGGCTTCATGGGTTAAAATGTAAACTCTTCTTCAGCCCAGCAGTTGCACTGCTGGAAAGTAATCCAGTAAATATGTAGATTTGACCCTGCCAAAGGCCACTTGGGCCAGGCTGGAGCCACACTGGGCCATGGACTCTGGGCTTCCCCAGGTGCCCTGGCCTGCTGGCCTGCCTCTGCTTGCAGCTTCCAAGGCCTGAGGCCTCAGCTTCCAAAGACTGAGAGTGAACGCAGTCGCTTTGGGTTGTGTGCTGGCAGCTTCATGTCCTGGCTGCCTCACCAGGCCAACAGAGCACTCTTGGGGTCAGAAGATAGTAGTGTGACCAGTTGAAGAGCTTGTGTGATGCTCTGGCCCAATAGAGCCTTCTGGTGAGTGGTCAGTGACTTCTGTGGAGCACCCCCAAGTAGAGCACCTATCCACTGTGTCACCACAAGGGTCCAGCACCCTTCTCCAGCTTTTGGTCTCAAAAAAAGGCAGCTGGGCTGACCTGTTATGTCCCAAGTTAAACAAACCCATAGGCCCATAACGCCCCAGGAACCTCATTCCTTTCAACAAGTCTCTTTGACCAGGGCTGAATAATCTGTCTTTCATCACTGCATCCTGGGGCTTTGCATGAATTGTTCTCTTCCCTGTTCCCCTCGGGCTACCGGGGGTCATCAGCTGCCTCTCTAGGCACGGCTCTTGCAGAGACAGTATCATGGGAGGTTTTTTTCCTCTTTCATCTCTACATTTTGTAAAATCATTTTCCCATCAGAAATTCCCAGTCCTCTCTGACCTGATTACCACCTTAAGAAGATGATTCACTGAGAATGATACACTTTGGTGGTGGAGACTGAGTGGTGGACAGGCTCCTTACCAACCCTGGTGCAGTGGAGAGAGCAGCCTCGAGTCCCTTGTGGGTCCATTGTCTGTGTTAAGCAGGACATTAGTTGGACTTGACCTTTGGCAGGTTCACCTGAGTTTGTTCTCCTCAGGTACCCAGACTCATGGTATCGTGACATCACCTCCAACAAGAAGTTCTTTTCCCTTGCTGCAACCTACAGGGGTGCCATCGTGGGAATGATAGTAGCTGAAATAAAAAGTAGGACCAAGATACACAAGGAGGTAAGCGTGTGCGGCGGTGATGGGGCTGTGGGGCTTTGTGACAGAATCCACTGCCTGCTCTGTGGCCGTTTCTCTTTAAGAGGCCAGACCGTGTATGAGATTTATACCCAATTGGTTTCTTTCTGTTTATATGTGATGCAGCCATATGTGCATTAAATAGCAAGTCCTAACCACAAGCTTCTAACAACTGTCCTTTTGAAGTCAGGAGGGACATAAATGGTTCACTGAAAACACGCAGAGTTGTAAGGGACTGCGATTTGTATTGGTTGCAGTGTCACAGAAACTGCTAACACTGCTGTGGTTTGTTGAAGGAAATGCTAAGTTTCAGTTAGAGGTTAGTGAAAATAAAAATAATTTCTTTTCATTCAACTTCATAGACTCCTCCAAGATCTATCTGTCTAAGAACCCCTGAGAGTCTGTGTTAGCAAGCCTCACTCTAAATGTAAAATGTGAGGCCATGGACACAAATACATTGTTCCATATGGTTGACTTGAGTCAGGATTCTGCCTAATAATTTTGGTCATCTTAGAGACTGAGTAGCATTTACCACATGGTTACTTACTCCAGGGAGGGGAAAAAAAGCCACTGACAACTGGCATATTGTTCTATCCTTTTTCCTGAGGCTATTTCTCTAAAAGTGGAAAAAGGATGTCTCTCCCTTTTAAAGACCTGATCCACTCAAGCCTCCCCTAATTTGCCTATAATTAGATTCTGGCAAAATTGGTTTCTTTTAAGAGTAACTTTTCTGTCCTAGCTTCCTTCTGAGCTTTTTTCTTCCATTTATCAGTGCTAAGGTAAAGCAAAACAGAAAGAAATATTGATGTTTTCAGCAAACATCAGTATCCTTTTGATCTTTCTTCTTATCCCGGACAAACTGCCCATCCTGTCCACCTCTCCACCCCACTCCACAAAGCTTGTTCCCTGAAGTCCCCTCCAAGCAGTTCTTCCTGCTTGTCGCCAGTGACTGTCCACATATGTGGTAACTAGATCTCCATGCTCCTTTGAATGTGTTGGTTGTCCCTTGAGGACAGAGATGGGGACCCTTTCCTTCTGCTCCACGGGTGTCAGGAGAGGGAGCCTTTGTGTTCTGACACTTTCTCGGGCTCTGCTGAGAGGCTGAATGAATTCAGCACTGGAGAAAGAAAGCAGGGCCTGTTAGAAGACATCTGCCAGGGAACAAAGTACTCACCTCACCTTGCTGACCCTTCCATGGGCTTCAAGTAACGAGAGCAGTAAGGTTGCTTGGCTCCCTGAGACTGATTGGCAAGTTTGCCTGTGTCCAGCTTAGCTGTGGTGTGGAGTGCTGGGGCCCAGGCCAGGAGAGTGGGGAGCAGGGACAGGGACAAGCTGATCCACGCCCAGCACACAGGAGCCACACAGGAGCCAAGTTGCCAAGCATCCTTTCAGTGGAGGAGAATCCGCGTAGCTTTCTTTATGAGGTAGAAGAACATCATGGTGGTCAAATTCACAACTCTCCCAGTGCAGGACTCCATCTCTGGGAACATCTAGGGTTGGCAGGCCATGGCATGTCACTCTGCCTGTCAGGGACAGCAGAGGGGCCATCCAAACTCTCCACCCTCTTTACTCCAAGACCTCCTGAGGACAGTAGAGGATCCTTTAATTAAATCTTTCAAACTTTGTGTTTATCCCGCTGTTTGGTCTCTTGGTGTGTCAGCTGACATATTTGAGTACCACTAAGTGCCCATGTAGCACAGTTGTTTCCTTTTCACCACCATAGCTTCATCTGTTTGTGTCATTGTCCTTCCTTGTCTGGTCTACCACCAATTCCAAAGAGAAGTGACTTTTTGTGAGTGTTCTTATTTTAGCAGTTTTTAGCAGAAGGGCCCACACCTTCTTGCTTTCATGGGGTAATGGTGACTCTTCATTACCCTCTGTTCTATTCCCTTGCCCTGTATCCCCATAGGTGTTGTGACCAGGGGAGTGGGCACATGAGATGTGTTCTGCAGTGAGACCGGGCACCTTGACTGTGAACTTGACTTTATTTCTGACTTTTTCTTTAGGATGGAGATATTCTAGCCTCCAACTTCTCTGTTGACACACAAGTTGCATACATTCTAAGTCTTGGAGTAGTGAAGGAGTTCAGAAAGCACGGCATAGGTAAGGGGCAGCTGAGCTCATGGTTTCTGGTACATACACCCTCCCACCCATATCCAGTCATTTCCCACATCCTGATGATTCTCACCCATCAATATTCCCCAGTCTCTCCTCTACCCTTCCTCTCTCTGTCTTGAGTCAGACCTTACTTCTCTTCCCAACAGATCTCTGGCCCCCGCCCCCACTGACCTTCAGCCCATGCTCTTTCTACACATCGCCAGGTCTTTCTGCTATGGCTTTGTTCCCAAATCTGACGAGATCAGATTATTAATAGCTCCCAAACACCCTTATTAGAGAATGGGTACCTCTTACCGTGCCTGCCAGCACACACACAGCTTATGTCTGGTCACAAGGTATTCTTAATTAAGAATAGAAAATATAATTGAAGAAACAGTTCTAGCTGCCATGTATCAGATGCCCATCACATCCAAGGTGCTGTGTCACCTGTAAATCTCCAAATTCCCATCCCACTTGGTCACAAAGCCAGCAAATGGCAGTCTTCATTGTAACCCATGCCTGCCAATTCCACGTTTTCCTTGGCTCAGGTTTACACATTTGTTGTCTGAAAGGTTAATGAGTTTCTGCTGTGGGTCCAGTCCCTGGGAGGGAATTCTGCAGCCCCTATCTGTAGTCCTGGACACCTGATGGTCTGCAGCTAACAGGCCCCATCTGGCTGTTGGATTTTAGGGACTCTGACAGTGGGTGGTTACAGGAGGTTGGTCTTTGATACAGGGGCAGAGAGATCTGTAGAGATCTCTTCAAAAGTCACTTCCTCATCTGCCTCATGCTTCCTCCCCACCTGCTTGCCATGCGTGACTGTCGCCTCTTTGCCCGCAGGTTCACTTTTACTTGAGAGTTTAAAGGATCACATATCCACCACCGCCCAAGACCACTGCAAAGCCATCTACCTGCACGTCCTCACCACCAACAACACAGCAATAAACTTTTACGAAAACAGAGACTTTAAGCAGCACCACTATCTCCCCTACTATTATTCCATCCGCGGGGTCCTCAAAGATGGTTTCACCTACGTCCTCTACATCAATGGCGGCCACCCTCCCTGGACCATTCTATATCCTTTTTTTCTCAGGAGTGAGGGACCATGGCTTCCTAGCAAGGCCTTGCTCCAGCTGGAGCTGTGGTTGCCTTCAGATGACAATTCACGAGGCCAAGCTCACAGGATGTGTTTTTTCCCCAATCAGGTTGATAGAGGTATGGGTATATCTGGTTTGCATGTATTGGGAAATGATGGTTTGGTTGCAGATATCAAGGAAGCAGATGTGTTCAGGTACTTGGTGTTCCCCAGACCTCAGCCCGGTATGAGGAGGGTTTTAAACCTCCTGGCCCAAGATCTGTCCATCCATCTGCCCATTTATCCAATAAGTATTGGTTGAGAGCCTCCTATTCCTAGTATGTGGGGACTGCAGTAGTGAACAAAACAGACAAAAGCCCTTGCCTTCATGGGACCTGTGTGCTGTCAGGAGAGAAAACAAGTGAAATGAAAAGAGTTGTTTGCTATTTTGAACACTTAGGTTTAAACTTTCCTTACTGGGATGTGGGGTATGTGACCTGGGGGCCTGTCTCTTTCCCGCTCCCTCCTCTTTAACTCTCTCTGGCCCTTGATAGGTAGGGAGGTCAGGAGACTTCCTAATAGTCATAGGGTGTGACCCAGAAAATTGTGTGTGTGTGCGTGTAAAGAAATTAAATGAATGAGTCTGGGACTTATCCATTTCATAAGGAAATAAACTGGAAAGAGAAAGGTGGCCCAAAAACCCACAGACCTCCAAGCTCATGTAAACATGGATCTCTGTGGTGTCTCAATGTTCAGCACTGTTGACCCGTGTGTAACAGAGACAAGGCTCTGCTCCTCTAAGGATTGAGAGTAGAGGGAGGAACAGGAACACTTGCTGTTCTGCCAGACCCCTTCCTCCAGCACCGATTTTTGTTGGTCAGTCCATGTACCTGAGGCCTCACCTGGAAGGTCCTCTTATACCTATGTGCTGCCCTTTATTATTTTGCACATTGGTGGCCCCTCCATTTAAGGAGGCTTTCCAGCACTCTGCAGAGGCTGAGCAGACTATTGGCCTTCTACGAGAATGGCATCCTGTCTGCATGCAGTCCTACAGGTTGCCTACAGCCCTCTGCTGACAGCGCCTGCCCAACGGTGTGTGGGCAGGTGAAACGAATCAGAGTCTTCCTTAACAGAGCCCTACGGACTACATCCAGCACTTGGGCTCTGCTCTAGCAAACCTGAGCCCCTGCTCCATCCCACACAGAATCTACCGCCAGGCCCACAGCCTGCTCTGCAGCTTCCTGCCATGGTCCAGCATCTCCACCAAGGGCGGCATCGAGTACAGCCGGACCATGTGATGCCAGCCAGGCAGCCTCCAATAGGTTCCACCCCTTGGCGCCCTGTGGAGTCTGCCTTCCCGACCATCTGACCTCAGCTGTCCTCTGCAGAGGAGCTGGCCCATCAGCCTGTCCCAGCTGCAGGCCTGGTGCTACCCAGGCTCAGGAGCAGAGTGTTGTGGGGCAGGCGTGCCTGGTCTCTGACAGGTACGCCAGAGCAAACAGTGGGAAGAAGGGCAGCAGAACAGAGTGGGATGACGGTCCTGAGAAATGGAGGGTCTGGCTCTGCAACAGTGAAAACAGAAGGGCTTGGACGGGCACCTGCTCTGCCAAGGACTGAGGTAGTTCCTGACCAACTCTTGGAAACTTGAAGGAAAGCAGAGAACCTTTGAGCCCCTGGCCCGAACTTCATCTTTTCACTTCCTGAACTACTTTTTAAAAAATAATGCATTCAAATGATTAAACAATGAAAAAGTTACCAAAAGATCAAACCCCTTCTCCTCCCACCCCCAGCCACTCAGCCACCTTCCAAGGGGCTTCTGGAGCTGCTGTCTCAGGCATGCTTCCAAAGATCCTGTTTAGACATCAGCTTTAATGCCAGTGGCATCGTCAGCTCACAGTGAAGCTCCCTGGGGTGGGCACCTTGTAGACTAAGAGCTCTGCTCAGATATGGACACTTATGAGCGCCATGAGTGCCATGGGGAGTCTCTCTCTCAGACCTCAGAGAATATCAGAGCTGGACAGGGTCATGGGGACTCCAGAGTCCACTACTTTATGCATGGACATGGCCAGAATGGATTTGGTGTCTTGAGCCAAGCTCACAAGTGTACTCAATGGCCACCTGGTCTGGCACCCTCAGTGCCTTGATTTGTGCTGGGGCTGAGAGGAGCCTAGGGTCACTGGAAGGGACTCTGGGCCTGGAGAAGGACTCCTACTTTAGGGGTGCCCGTGGTCAGCTATGGGCTCCTAGGCCAGATACACAGGGTGGGGCAAAGCATTTCTGCAGTTTTTCACTCCTGCTCCCCTCTCCTCTTTCCTACAGGCTCTTCCAGCCCTTCTCGCTCTGGAAACCTCTGCCCCATGCCCTGGCCTGGCCCTCGTGTGATTGCACCAGCTCCATGGGCCGGCTGGCGTGTGGCAGCGTTCACTGTGGTTTGTTTATTCTGCTGCCCCAGGAGTAAGGGGGCAGGAAGGGGATTCCTTCCCTGTGCCTCCTCACTGGCCCCTTTCCCTCCACTGTTCCACTGCCTGTTTCTTCCAGCTCCTCCTTCCTCCAAGCCAGAATGAACTTCTGGGAGGGAGGAACCCAAGTGTTATGGACAGACTTGACTCTAAAGACACAGGAACCCCAGAACAATGAGAGGGTGAAATAAAGGGAATGCCAGACCCTTGTCCAGAATCAGCCTGCAGAAGCCTGGAGGGTGGAGAGCAGCCCCCACCTCCCACAAGGGATTGGCGAGTGGCGGGCAGAGCGGGAAAGGCCCTTTACCCAAGCACAAGCTCCGGGGCATAGCTCCCTGACATGGGCAGTCAGGTGACGGTAAGGTTTCCTCTGCTGGCGGTCCGTCTGTCCTGGAAAGCATGGAACTGCCCATCAGGGGTGGATGCACCATTCAGCTGAACTGCTTCAGAGAGCCAGGCTTAGGGTTAGGTGCTGCTGAGGGTCCTGGGGGTCCTCTCCTTTAACCCCTCAGTCCCGTGAGCTGCAGCTCCAAGGCCTGGCCAGATGCAAGCAGGAGGAAGCTGAGCGTTGTGTTGATCTCGTGGGACCTGGCCTTTGGGGCTGGTGGCAGTTACGTGCCTTGTGGTCCCTCATCCTCGGGACAGAGACAGAAGCTGTGTCAGTGCCAAGAAGCATGTGTGTGGACACCACTTGCTTCTGGCATCTCCACCCCCATCCCCCAAAGCTGCTTGCTGTCTGCGCTGCCCTCCAGAGTATGGTGGAGGCACGCCCAGCATTACTGCAGTGTCATGTAGCCATTGTCACAATGCACCAGCCTGAGTGGGAGGAGAAGGGGGAACAGTCAGGCAGAGGGTGTCCTTGAGGACTGGCGTCCTTTCCTCCCTCAGAACTCCGAGACCCCGGGGGTTCGTCTGGCCTTGTGGTGGGGAAAGGAGTCCTCCAGTTGAAGGCGAGCCCAGGTGGGAAAACATTCCTCCTCCCTTGCCGCCTCACACTCCCAGTCTGCGCTGATGTTGGCCTCGAGCTGAGGCTTAGCTCAGTGTTCTCTAATCTGAATCAACAGTGATCATGTGGTTTTTATTTCTGCCCTTCTGGGTAAGGTAAGAGTCTTCCAGAAGGTTCTGCCTTGGACATTCACAATTGAGCTGAGGCCTTGCCCTGCCCCTTCCTCCCTGCCCCATTCACGGCAGTGTCCAGCCCAGTGTTGAATGGATTGTGGTGTTGTCTCATTACAAATAAATAGACTTTAATTGGTCACATTCTGTTTTGCACTCTGGGGATTTGCCCATTGCTGGGGCAGTGGCTGAAGGCAGCACCGGAGCTGCCTGTCGCTTTCAAGTCCTGAGGATGGCTTCCAGCTAAAAGGGCTGATGGTTTTGTGTAAGATGGTTTTGTGTAATTTAGCCTGCCAAATAATGAAGTTCTGGGGAAGAGGTTCTAGAGCTGAAAAGCAAAACTAGGTTAATTTTCTAAACTCAAAAGGCCCTCAGCAGCTGCCCCCATTTGTTCAAGTGTCTCCTTGGCCAGCTCTAGGCCTTGAGCTAGGGCCTAGTCCTCTAGGGAGTACTGTCTTGGCTTAGAAAAGGCTCCATACATAGGTGACTCAGTGCAATGATCAGGCAGGAACCCTGGGCCAGTGCACCCTGCCACTGGAGCATGGGAGACTCCTGGGCCAGGACACCCCACTGTGAGATCCTGAGGCTGGGCCTGCCTCAGGATCCACCAATCTCTCCTTGGAGCTTCTGGGCACTCTGGGGGCAGGGTGTCATGCTTATCACCCATAGACACATGAGGAAAACTGATTCGGGCTGGGAGCTACCCAGGAGCCACACAGCTCTTGAACAGCCTCCAAAGCCTATGTCTGTGCTGGTCCTTGAGGGCAGGGCATCACTCAGACAGCCAGGACAGGGCCTGAGACTCCTGCAGAGCTGGGTGTTGAGGGATCCTATGGGGTCAGGTGGGAGCAGACGGCACTGCATGGGTGAAGTTCAGGGAGCTGGCCTGGACTCTCAGCACCAAGTAGCGTCCCTGTGCTCTGAGTTACACCCTTGCTTACACCCTGAGTTACACCCTCAGTCTGTTTTCACTGTGTTGATAGGTCAGCTTCAGGGTTAAGGGATGACTCCTTGGGGCCCTTGATCAGTTGTGTGGCCAGGTATCAACTTGGGGTGGGTGGGGTGGGGGTTCTGGTTACCCTGACCTTGAAGGCAGCTGTACCTTCCCTGCCCATCAGGCTTTGAGGACGATCTCCCAAGGGCTGAGGCTGACTCCTGGTGGCTCTGTTCCAAACCTACTGGCCATTCAGGGAATGGGGAGGGGGCCCCCCAGGGTGGTCAGTGTGCATTTCCACAAACGCCTACTTATTTGATTCTTCAGGCCCTCCTTCACTTAAGCTCTCTGACCCCAGCATGCCATGACCACCTGTGGCTTTACTTCTCAACCTCTTTGTAGTGCTTTTCAAGAAAGCTTCAGGAGTTTTAGGGAGGAACCAGAGGATGGCTCAGCCAGTTTTCTTTGGGGCTGACATGTTGCTGCAGCATTGTGCCTCCCAGAGGAGAGGTCCAGGCTCTGGCTTATCAACCCTCTGTGCATCAGTAAGGGTGGCTCAACAGGGTGGCAGGATCCACTCTCGAGGTGGCCTGGAGCTTGGCAAGGATTTTCCCTGGGCTGGGTTGGTTTCCCACTGTGTGGAGGGCTAGTTATGTGGGCACTGACTTCCTCCACACATGCACTAGAAGCTACTAGGCCTCCTTCATGCCAGAAATGACACCATGTCACTTCCACATTCTTCTGGTAAGGCAAGACCCAGAACCAGTCCCAATTCAAGGCAGGAGGACTACCCAGGGCCAGGATACCAGGATGTGGTTCAGTGGAGGTCACCACACCCTGGCCCTCTAACATCTGAACCCTGGGGCAGTTTGCTTCTGAGCCTCAGTCCTTCATCCAAAAACGAGGGTGAAGAGTAACTGTCTCCAAGGATTGAGTATTGTGGCTTCTGGCATTATCTCATTTCTACCTGGTGCTTGGCTGGTGGCTGGGGGAGCCCCAAACATCTGTCTTAAGCAGTGATCCCTCAGGTCTCCCCAGCCTCAGTCTCCTGGGGGATTGAGAGTTGTGATGGAGGGAAAAGGCAGCTGCCCTTTCTGTCACCCCATGAGCTTGCCTGATGGACCAGCTCAGCAGCTGCATTCCTACCTCGCCTGCCCCCGTCACAGCTGGAGTGTTCAAATACCTGCTCTCTCATTGCTCCTTTCTGCAGCCTCAGGCTCCCACCGCCCAGGGCCACACCCACACCAATAACCACCTGGAAACAGCCCGAGGACCGAATGCTGTCTCAGGACCTATGAAATGTCTGAGGTGGAACCAGGGTACAAGAGCAAGGGGGCTAAGGGAGTATTCCCTTGTGTCTGGAAGGAACCCAGCTGTCCTGGTATCCTTGACATCATCACATGGGTCTGGCAGGAGCCCCCCCCAAGATGGGCAACAGCCCTAACCTGACGCAGGGTGCCAAGACTGGAAATGAGAGATACGGTGACGGTCACTGAAGCCAACCCAGGTCCTCCCATCCTGTCCCTGCAGAGCTGAGGCCCAGTGACATAGGCCAAGAGTGATTCTGCCCGCCCTCCAATCCCCCTGCCCAGGAGACATTGGACACTGTCTAGAGACACTTAGTTACCACAACTAGGAGGAGGGAGCTAGTGGAATCTAGTGGGTAGTGGCCGGGGACACAGCTTAACATCCTATAACATGTGAAGGATGATCCGGCCCCAAATGTCAACAGGGCTAAGACAGACTCCCTAGTACAGAAAAGCCCAAACTATGGTGCCTGGAGTCTAACCCAGGTGGAGGGACAGGACAGCCGGGGGTCCCCATGGAGCAGTGAACTCAACTAAGCCCTGGGTGGGGGCAGCTTGGGGTCCAGGCCAACATTCCTACCCAGATTGGGAGCTTGGCTCTCATCTCTGGCACTATCCCCAATCCTGGCCTACCGTCTTTTGTCCTCTGCCCTCTCAGCCTGGACTACTACACCCTGCATTTAGGCCTGCCGAGACCCTGCCCACCCAGGAAGCCTTCCAGAAAGTCCCACCCGGATGACTTAAGGGTGGGAGAGCTTGAATCCCACTTGAGATTCACAGACTTGCTCTCAGAAACTCAGGTGCCAAGGGGCTATTTCTCTGACCGAATTGGCCTGATGACAGACTGAGGGACAGAAGGTGCAGGCTTTGGCTTTTACTGAGATCAGACCTGTGAGCTCCCTGGCCTCTTGAGAGCCCCACTCTCCACTCAGCCCGGCCTTCCAGGTACAAGTGGGTGACTTGAGTTGGAGCAGGCTGCAAGGGCATGCCCAGGCTTCTATTTTTTCTGTTCTGTCATTGGGACCTTCTCCTCCCTCCCCTTGAGTTTTCCCGAGGCTGGCCCAGGCTCTGGCACTGGGCAGCTGCGGGCGTCTCGGTGTAGAGGGGCTACTGGTGGGGCTGAGCCCCTCCTCTCTGGACCTGCCTCCTCCTCCTGGGTCATCTTTCCCCTTCTGTCCAGAGCTGTGAGAACCAGCCTGGACACGCAGATCCCTGCGGCCTCTCCAGAGCCCCAGAGCGGGTTCTCTTGCACAAGGGACAGGTGGACTCCTCTGAGGGCCCCCAGGACCTCTTGGGCCGGAGTCCCAAGCTTTCAGGGGGACCAGGCTGGGAGGGGGTACCCTTGGCTGGATCCATGCTGGAACTGGAAGCTGAGGAAAGAGGGTAGAGAGGAGTCACTCAGCGGGACCTAGGGGAGGCTGCCAGTCTATTCTGTGACCCCCCAGAACCTCACATCTTTCAAAACAGGAGGGGTGGTGAGTCTCCTTAAAGATAATCCATAAGGGGTGAAGGAGGAAGAGGGCAACATGGTTCAAGTTGGAAGGACCCTCATCAAACCTAAACCCCTCATTTTACAAATGGGGAAACCGAAGCCCAGACCAGAATTGGAAGAGCTGTCCAAGATTGCTCATCAAGGGACAGAAACCCAGAAAGTTTGGGAGTGGAGAAGGGCCCATCTGAGTCCATCTGAGTCTCCAACCCAACCCTTCTCTGGGTCTTCCCTTAGACCAGTGCTCACCTGTATTTCCCAGGCTGCCCCTGGGCAGTCGAGCTTCCAGAAGGGCTGAGTGGTGGCTGTTACCTGGGCTCAGAGTCCCCTGTGGCAGGTCCAGAGGCCAGGCCATGCCCTCGGGCCGTGAGAGGCAGCCCCTGGCCATGAGCCGGCCCAGCCAGTGGCTCTCACACTGGCCAGCGGGCTGCATGTGGCCCGGCAGGTAGAGCGCCAGGCCCCGGAGGTGGCGCAGCCGGAAGTTCTTGGGCTTGCTTCCCTGGGCACTGAGGCACTGCTGCTGGACCCCAAGTCCCCCCTCGTAGATATTGGGCGGCGTGTCAGGGTGGCTGGGGAGTCCTCGGGCCCAGCTCACTCCATCTGTGGAGGGGAGAGCAGGAGGGTGGTGGCCAGTGGGCCACAGCAACCATGAGGGGAGACTGCAGTCACATGCTCATGTCATGGGCTCCACCCTTGGCCTGCCGAGCCTCAGCTTACCTGTCTGTCAGATGGGCTAAATCCCCTGCCTCCTGCCTCCCCTGACCCAACATGTTACTCCTCTTTCCTCTCTCAGCCAATAGGGAGGTCTGAGAAGCCTGAGCCGTGGCACCAAATTCTCTTTCAGGACCTCAAGCCCTTTCTGCCACCCCTTTTTGCCTCCTATCCTAGAAAGATCATTCTGGTGCCTGTATAGAAATTGCACAGTGGGTACTGGATCACACAGCCCAAGCCACATGTCCTGGACCAGTGGCCATTCCTCTCCCAAGCATGTATGTCTCTGAGGCCACTGGTTTTGGGCCCAGGTGAGGACAGAGGACAGCTCTCCTCCTGCCACTCCTCCCCACAGCCCGGCACCTTCTCTTATGCGCAGCTCAGAGAATGCATAGACCAAGGCTTCCATGGAGGGCCAGTGTGGTGCGGGAGGAGTGGCCAGGCCTCCTGTGCAGCAAGGCTCTGCTCTCCCCTGCCTCGGGGGTGGGTCTGCAGGGCTCCCTTGGCAACTGGCAATGTGATGTCACAGGGGAGAATTCCAGCCTTCCCGAATCCCCTGGGTTTGGGGGACGATGATGCCCAAGGCAGAGGCAGGGTGAGAGGAGGGCAAGGGAAGGGGGCAGAACCCTAGGGGAGGTCCCTCTGGCTTGGGATAGGCCACACAAAACAGACTCAGCTCTTGCAGGCTAGAGAGTCACATCCAGGGGTAACATCTTGAGTTCTCAGTTTCCTTATCTGTGGGTGGGAAATAAGGGCTTAGGGGTACAGACCTGGTGAAACCTGAGTCAGTGCTTTAAGCATGCTGATAAGGTGGTTCTGGGTGACAAGACAAGTCACTTAACTTTCCAACCTGTCCATTTTTTCACATGTAAATGGCAGGGTATTGTGTGGATCATACCAAGTGTGAGGAAGGATACAGAGGAACTGGAGCTCTCTTATACTGCTGGGAGGAATGTAAAATGTTGCCACCACTTTGCGAAACACTTTCTTGAAAAGTTAAACTTTCAGTTCTCTCTATTCACAGATGACATGATCTTATATAGAGAAAAATTAATTCACACTCAAAACTGAGCTAATAAAACTAGGAGAGCTAATATAGTTCAGCAAAGTTTTAGGATACAAGATAGATCTACACAAAAATTCATTGTATTTTGGCACTTGGCAGCAGCCATTGAGCAGATCGGACTCCACTCATTCATGTGCCTCACTCCATTTCCTCTGCAACCATGTCTGACAAACTTAAAATGGCTGAGATTGAGAATTTCAACAAGTTGAAATCGAAGAAGACAAAAATGCAAGAGAAAAAACCACTGCCTTCAAAAGAAATGATTGAACAGAGAAGCAAACAGATGAACCGTAATGAGGAACTCAGCGCCAATATGCACTGTAAGTTCCACAACTATTGCCTTCTTATTTTTTTTTGGCTGTTTAACATTGTAAGATGCAAAGAGATTAGATCAAGCTTAAATGACTGTGCTGCCCCTTTTCAAATCAAGAACTACTGACTGTGAAGGTTGCACCTGCCTCTCCCATCTGCCTATCTTGCTGGCAGAGAAGGAAAAGAACTTGCATGTTGGTGAAGGAAGAAGCTGGAGGTAAAACAGTGAAATTTAGAGTAAAATTCAAGTTGGTCAAGGTGTCCTGCAGGCTGTAAAAGGCAGTTTAATCAAAGTGCCATTTTTAAAAAATGATTTTAATTGTAATGCACAATTTTTAATATGCAAATAAAAAGTTTTAGAATATGAAAAAATTTAATTGTATTTCTATACACTGGCAAAGAACAAGAATAAAACAGGAATAAATTTCACCAAGAAGGTGTAAGACAACACTGAAAACTATAAAACATTGCTGAAAAAAAATGGACTTCAATAAATGGAAAAATATTTCTGCTCATGGATTGAAGACTTAATATTGTTAAGACAGCAGTACTCCCTAAAGTGATTTACAAATACTTTCAAAATCCCAATGGCATATTAGGCAGAAACAGGAAAGCTGGTCCTAAAATGCATGTGCAATTACAAGGGAGCTCAAATAACTAAAAACAATCTTTAAAAAGTTTGAAGACTCACATTTCTTGATTTCAAAACTTTCTACAATGTTACAGTAACCAAAATAATGTGGGACTGGCGTAAAGGTAGATATCTAGACCAATGGAATAGAATGGACCAGAAATAAACCCATGTTTCTGTGGTCAATTGATTTTCAACAAGAGTGTCAAGACTATAAATAGGAGAAAGAAATTCATCAACAAATGGTGCAGGGGCAACTAGATAGCCACAGGTAAATGAATGAAGTTGGACTCCGTACCTCACACCATATACAAAAATTAACTCAAAATGCATCAAAGACCTAAATGTAAGAGCTAAAACAGTAAAACTCTCATAAGAAAACAGGGATAAGTATGACTTTGGATTTGGCAATTAACTATTAGATATGACAACTAAAGCAAGAACAACAAAAATATTGGACTTCATCAAAATTTAAAACATTTGTGTTGCACAAGGAACTATCGAGAAGTAGAAGACAGCCTACAGAATAGGAGAAAATAATTTGCAAGTCATATATCTTATGAATGTGGTATCCGGAATACATAAAGAATTCTTACAACTCAACAACAAAAAAAGAAAGCCTAATATAAAAATGGGCAGAGAACTTGAATAAACTTTTCTCCAGAGAAGATATACGAACTGTCGAGGACATGAAAAAATGCTCAACATCATTAGTCATTAGGGAAATGCAAATTTAAACCACAATGTGCTACTACTTCACACCCACTGGATGGATTTATTAAACAAAATGACAAATGTTAATGAGGATGTGGAAAAACTGGAACCCTCCTAAACTGCTGATGGAAATATAAAATGATGCAGCCAATAATGTATGAAAGTTCAAGTTGGTATACATTCTTCTGAGCTCTTGGCATTGCCAGAGTTTTTGTCGTTTGTTTTAGCCATTCTAAAAACTGCCTAGTAATATATTATTGTGGTTTAAAGTTAATATACATTTCTCTAGTGACTAATAATCTTGAGCATCTTTTCCTTTATTATTTGCCATACATCTTCTTTTGTAAAATATCTGTTTAAATTTTTTGTCTACTCTCTAATTGGATTGTTTCATTGAGTTTTGAGAGTTCTTATATATTCTGGATATGTCTTTATAGGATGTGTTTTGTGAATATCTTCTTCTAGACTGTGGATTATCTTCATTTTCTTAAAATGAGCAGTTTTAAATTTTGATGAAGTCCAATTTATCAAAAAATACTTTTTAAAAGATCATACTTTTGATGTACCTAGGAAATCTTGCTTAACCCAGTTACACAGCTTTTCCCCTAAGTTTTCTTCTGGAAAAGTTAGTTTTAGGTTTTATATTTAGGTAAGGGTGGAGGTTAATTTATTTGAATATGAATTTCCTATTGTTTCAAACCATTTATTGAAAGACTATTCTCCATTGAAGTGCTTTGTCATCTTTGTCGCATTACCATATATGTGTAGATATATCTGGGGACTCTCTTTAGGGTCCGTGCGATTATGTCTGTTACTTTGTCAACACCAATACAGGAGTAGAGGACATCCCAGCCGTTGGCAGTTCTTCCTCTTCGTCCACCTTTCACAGCTCACGTCTCCTCCCCAGCCCTTCTTTGTCGCCTGTCCTCCTCTGTGGTAGCCCTACAGAGGGCTCCCAGGTGAGCTCCCAGTTGCTCTGGCCCGGTGTTGGGAGCCTTCGGTTCTACTAGGCAGACCAACCCGCCCCCGCCGGAAAAAGGTGTCAGTTGCCAGGACAACCGCCGACGCGCAAAGACCCGGGTGATTTCCGGCCTGTCGTGAAGCCCGAGCCGAGTACGCGTGCGCTGGTCTGGGTTGGGCAACCTCTCGCGGTCAGCCCTGGTCTTCCCTTTGCAGTCCGGAGTTCCGTCCTTTCACGCGGCGGTTGCTTCTCGGGGGCTTTGGACGCGGGTGCGGCCAGCCAGTTTACAAAGAGAAACGTGCTGGGCAGGACAGTGACCAGCTTCGTGACATCCTACATTCTTTCTAGAGAAGTTGAGGGAATGGGAAGCAGTATGTAGAGCGCCTAGCACAGTGTAAGGCACATAGTAGGTGCTCAGAATGTGTCAGTCAGTGCCAAGTCTGCACAGTGTATGCAAAGGGCTGGGGAGCACACGCTTGGAGCTACCCGCCGGGGGCCGGAATCCCACACCCGCTCCTTCTGCGGGTCGCGTACGTCCCCTGCCTACCGACACCTCGCTTGCACATGCGTGCGCAGCCTGGCTGGTTTGCCTGTAGTCTTGTTTGGCCCCTGCTGCGCGCCGTCGAGGGCTCCGTGCGTTGCCATAGAAACTCGTGAGCGCTGAGGGGCGAGTGACGGAGACTCCGGGCTAGTGGGGATCAGAGCGCCATGTCTTTCCGCGACCTCCGCAGTAAGGCATCCCTACCCCTTGTGGCCTGCAGTGCTCCAGAGACTGAGGTCTCCAGTTCGCTGGGTTCCTTGTCCCGAGCCCCGCCGAGGCTCGCGCCGCAGAGGCCCCCTCCCGGGCCTTTGCGTCTCGGCTGTCCTGGCCCTCTGTGGTACCGACAGGCTGAGCACCTCCGCGCTGGTTCATAGCACTTTTTGTGATGATAGGAAGTTCTCCGTCAGCCATTGGCTGTGGCTAGTGCGGCCGAGGAACCGAAGTTTTAATTTTATCTAATTTTAATTGATTTGTATAGTCGCATGGGCACTTCGCGACTATATTGGAAACACAGAGACCGTTTCTGAGTTGGGGTAACTTAGAGCTCAGAAAAACGAACAAAACCGAGGGTGGGGGCTGGTGAATAATTGCAGCTAACGTTTTTGTTTTTACGAGCTGCCAGATAGTAAGTTCTGGGTATGTGTATCATCTTATTTACTCCTCTGAACAACTCTACACTTCTGTGTTTAGAGATGAGGAAACGGGCACAGAGAGGTCAAGTAGCTCAGGCAAGGGTCACAAGTGGTACGAACTGGCGCCGGAATTTGAATACAGGTTATCTAACTTCCATAAACTTCATCCTTTCTAAAGGGACTGACGAGAAGCCAATCCAAATGCCTTTGCTAGAGTTGGAGAAATGGCAGAACAGGGATAAGAGAATTAGTTACTACTACTTTGGGGGACGCCTGTTAATCACCAGGCATTCTACATTCACTCTTATTTAAGTTCTCACTTTAACAGAGGTAGGTGATGTAATTCCTGGATGAAATACTTTAAAGCACAGAGAGGTAAAGTAGCTTGCTTTAGGTCACACAAACGGAACTGGGTGGAACCAAGGATCAAGGCATAGTACCTTGTGAATCAAAATCTCTTGTCTTTTGTACACTCATTTTCTGAATGAGAAGCAGTTCAGCAAAGTGGCTCCACTTGCGTAGATATAGCAGGTGATTGCCAATTTGGTATGATCTGAGGGGACTCTTTAAGGCCAGTTTTCTGCTTGAATTGCTGGTGCCTGAATCTTCACCATTAGAGATTACTCCTTTCAGTTATGAATTGCTCTTTTTTTGTGCAATGTAAATAAATATACAGGAAGAGGCATCACATTTTCTTAATGCACCTACTAGCACCATAGTGTAAATTATGCCCAGTGGGATTTGAAGGTTCTTGGTAACTGTATGTTTTAGTTTCTCCTCCCCGGTAGTTTAGAGAGGACACTCTCTAATGTTGATGTTGAATGGAGTTCTATTGGGAGGAGTGTATAATAAAGGGATTTCTGAACATTTTTACCTTAAATGAATGCTGTATAGTTGTGCGATTTATAATAATATTACTCAAATTGTCTCCAGTTTAACAATAATACTGCAGAATTAACAATTTGACTAATTTAGTGGGAAGAAATATTTAGGCAATGCCTGACTGTGTGATGGAAAAGCTGCTTTATTTTCCATCACTCTATTCAAATTTTTCAAAAAACAGTGACAGAGGCCCTCTGTGCTGTTGCTCTTCCTTTTGCTTATACTTTCTCTTGTCTGATGAAATCTAACCTAACTTCCCATGCCCAGGTAGCTTATTTGTGAATGTCATTGGGACATTTTGAATATTCACCTTCAAGAAGAATGAAGACAGACCTTACATAGCCAGAAGCACACTGAATATAGGTTTGGCACATCGTCGGAACTCAAAAAACATTTGTTTCATTCATTTCCAAGTCCTCCTCAAAGTTTAGTGACTGCAACCTCCATTATCAACAAGTTTTAGTATTACTGTTTCTTAAAATCTGAATGGTGCTCTATAGTTTGACCATTCTCTTTAAGATTTCTCTGCTGCACAACTAATTTTTAAAATTTGTATTAAGGTCCTATATGCTCACTAAAAAAAAAATTAGAAATAACTCAGAAACATGAACTTCATCCTACCACCAATCATCCCCTGAAATAACTACTGTTAATATTTAAAAATATTTTTTGTGACATTTTATAAGGCCAGTATTTCTCCTTTTGAGTCATAAAAAGATGTTCAAGAGAGAAACGAGATATCAAAGAGAAATTAAATTCACTGCCATTGAATCTAAACAAACAAAACAGAAACAAACTTAGATACAGAGAACATTCTGATGGTTGCCAGATGGGAGGGGTGTTGGTTGGGGGGATGGATGAAAAAGAGCAATGGATTAAGATGTACAAATTGCCGGTTATAAAAACAGTCACCAAGATGTAAAGTACAGCATAGGGAATGTAATCAATAATATTGTGATAACTGTGTATGGTATCAGATGGGTAGTAGACTTATTTGGGTCATCACTTTGTAAGGTATATAAATGTCTAATCACTGTGTTATACACCTGAAACTAAAATGTTGTATGTCAACTGTAATTGAAAAATTAAATAATAAATTCCTAACCAACCCATATTATTTTAATGTACAGCTTCCACTTCTACTGAACTTAAATGTTTTTCAGGAAGCGGATTATTTTAATTTTTATCTACTTTTTTCTTTCCCTCTTAGGGAGTTGTTAAATAGTCCTGAAAACTGCGAGTAGATTGGGAATAAGAGGGGAAAGTAGAGGAAGTATCTAAGTTAATAAGTTGTTGCTGTTTAACAAACTGACTGAATTGTATTTTACCTTGGACAGATTTTACAGAGATGATGAGAGCCTTGGGATACCCTCGACATATTTCTATGGAAAATTTCCGTACACCAAATTTTGGACTTGTATCCGAAGTTCTTCTCTGGCTTGTGAAAAGGTTGGAATTGTACTTCATTGAGGTCAAAGAATGAATACTTGGGTTTAGTTATTAGCCACTTAGAAACAGGATATTGTTGTGAAGCAAAAGGAAGAAGAGTTCAATAAAATTTGAGTTTGACAAACTTAGTTGTAACCTGTTAAAAATCAGATGAGTTTAAAGAACGCTGTAAGAGAAGGAATATACCAAGCAGTGGTAAAATAAGACTGTTTCTCAGTAGAAAGTGGACATTGGGATCCAAGCTCCTCTTCATCCCCTCACCTTCATTAGAGATCACCCTACACACTAACGAGTACATTGGATTAGAAATAATTTAGATTTCATTTTGTGTGAAAAATCTAATATCTAACATTCAATATTGGCAAACTTTTGTTAAGGAGATAGTAAATATCTTAGACATTATAGGCTACACAAGATCTCTGCCACATATTCTACATTGTGTTTTAGTTTTTATAACCCTTAAAAAATGTAAAAACCCTTGTTAGCTTGCAGAAGGAGACCAAGGACTGCATTTTGCTGACCCCGGGTGAGTCATCAATAACACGAAGAAAGTGACTCCAACAACTTTGCCGCTTCTCACCGCTAGCTAGTTAGGTCAAGGCTGGTCAGCCAGAGTAATCGTTCTGAGTATTTTAATTAAACTTTGAGGTCTGAGAGAGATTTAATTTTGAAAATTGAGCCCAAATTTGATTTTTGAAAGCAGTATAACCTATTCTTAGAAAAGGATTTTGTTCCCTTGGATGTTTGGTATTTTGTGTTGCTTTTGAAATCTTTCTTAATCTTAGTACCTTAGCTGGGGACCCAGAGACCTTCCTGTTACACATCCACTGGCCTCTTAGTTGCCAACTTTCTCTTTTGTGGACTTTCTACTTAATTAACTGGTGTCTTCTCTCTCTATCCCTCCCTCCCTCTCCCATAGGTATGAACCTCAAACTGACATCCCTTCTGATGTTGAGACGGAACAAGACCGAGTTTTCTTCATTAAAGCAGTTGCTCAGTTCTTGGTTAGTTTGCGGTTATTAGGTGGAGTTGTAAAATTGAATACATTAGTAAGAGATGAGTCCTAGTTAGGGTTGCTTTCAAGTTTTAAAACCCATTCCATTACTAGGTTTCTGTGGAGCCATTTCACCAGCAAAGTTTTTTTATTCTGTTTTTAATTCATTATTTGTTAAGAATTTTATTTATTTTTGAATAAGTAATATGTTTCATGGTTCAGAAATTTTTTAGATGATGAAACAATATAGAGTAAAATGACTTCTCATCCTATCTGCCATCAGCTGAGTTCCATCCCCAGCAATCACTATTTTTAATGTCTTCCAGAATTTTTGTATGCATATATAAGCAAACGGAATGTATATTCTTTTTTTTTTTACACAAATGGTGGCATACTATACACCAGTGTTTAGAGTGTTCATTTAATTTTGGAGAGCTTTCCAAATACATACAGAATTTCTTCATTCTCTCTTAATACCTGAGTAGTAGTATGTAATTTATATAACAGACACTTAAGTTTGTAACCTTTGCTCTTTGAAGTGATGCTGTAATGAATAACCTATGAATAACCTTATACATATTTCATTTTTGTTTATGAGTATATCCTTAGGAAAAGTTCTCAAGATTGGAATTGCTGGGTCTAAAGATATGTGCATTTGTAATTTTGTTGTCATTTACTAAATTGCTCTCCATCAAGATTGCATCAATTTATATACCCACTTGCCATGTATGAGTCACTTGAAAGTTTGACTCTTAATAAGATCAGGTTATATCCCAATTGTCGGCAGAGACGTTTTCAAATTACTTACATGGGAATTGGTTTAGATTTTACGTGGAAATGGCCTTAAACTGTTTGTTTGTTCGTTTGTTTTTTGTCTGAAAATAGGCCACTAAGGCACATATAAAACTCAATACTAAGAAGCTTTATCAAGCAGATGGGTATGCAGTGAAAGAACTATTGAAGATCACTTCTGTCCTTTATAATGCTATGAAGACCAAAGGGATGGAGGGTTCTAAAATAGGAGAGGACGATATCAGCAAATTCAAGTTTGATCTTGGCTCAAAGGTAAGAACAATGCAAGGCTTGCAGTGAGAGATAGAATGTGTCTTTCTCAGACTCTGAAATGGACCATGTCATATACTCATAGCACCACTTCTTTCCTTACTCCTTGACCGAGGGCAGTTTGGCAATTTTGTGCTCATCAGCATTTGGATAAAAGCAGAAGTCACAATAAATTAATTCAACTATTTACTGAAAGCTTGGCGTCTGCCATGCACTGTTCAAGTGCTGAGGACACAGGTGTTAACAACAGGGACAAGAACCCTCTGTTCCTCTGGCTCTACTGGGAAGGTCAGACTAAGCTACAAAGCAGAAGGAATGGCAGGTCAGATGTAAATGTGTGGAGAATAATAAAAGCAGGGAAGGGGCCAGGGAGGTATCTTAAATGGGGAGATAAGATGGCCTCGGATTGGATAACCTGAAGGAGGGAAGGAGTAGTGTAGTCTTCAGTGGAGGTGAAAAGTGTCCTCTGATAAAAGTGTGCTTTGTGTGTTTAAGGAAATACAAGGGGGTCATGCTGCCTCTGCTCCTCATATGCAGTGACAGACCCCATGGTACCTGAAAAGCCATTGAAAAGACTTCAACTTTACCCTGAGGCAGAAAAACATTGAGTTTAGAAGTACACGATTTGAAAGTTCAAAATAAAAGGATCATTCTGGCTTCTGGGTGGAGACTAGACTGAAGCGGGAGGCAGGGGTGGAAGCAGAGAGACCTGTTTGTTAGAAAGCCAGAAATGACTGTGACTTGGAGCAGAGTGATTGTGTGAGAGTTGCATGTCAAGAGCTCAGCTGAGCTGCCAGATGTCGAAGGACTCAAAGCAACAAGCCAAAAATGAAAGTGCAGTGTACTGGTGTGCCCCAAGTCGAGTGTATAGGTGTGGGGCGGATAGCTTTCCCCAGGAAGCTTGCCAGGTAAAGCCTTTGTAATTACCTGTGTTCAGGCCTGAAAGATCACACATAGGTTGTAACCAGGAGCCAGACTAGACTCCTCAAGAAGTGGCCAGAGGTTAGAACATATTTTGAAGGTAGATCTTATGGGATTGGATGTGGGTTGAGAGAGAACAAACAATACAAGGAAAATTGTAAAGCAGCTCTGTTTAGAACTTTCTGTGATGGTGGCTGTGTTCTGTATCTGCCATACTGTAGAATAGCCACTACCCACACGTGCCTAGCACAACTGAAGAACTGAGTTTTAAATTTTAATTAAAAAAAATTTAACATTGAAAATGGCCACCTGTGGCTAGTGGGTACTGTATTAGACATCATCATGCTAAAGTTTTTGGTTTGAGTACCTGCAAGGATGAAGTTGCCATTTATTGAAATGGAGAAGAATTTGTAAGAAGCAGGTTTAGCAGGAAAGGTTAGGAGTTTGGTTTGGGATATGTTATATTTGCAAAGTCCAAGAGATGTCTGAGTGGAGAGGTTAAGCCTCAGCTCATAGATGGTATTAAAGCCATGAACTTAGGAGAGACTGTGAATAAAAAAGAGGTCAGGGGATTGAACTCTGGTATTCTCCAGGGCCGAGAAGTGGGGAAGATGATGAGACTCCTGCAAAGAAGTTTGGAGTAAGGTAGAAGAAGCTAAAGCTACGGGGAGCTGAATCCTGGAGGACTAAGGAAATAGAAAGTCATCAGCGGTTAATGAAAAGGGAGAGTTATTGCTGATGGTTTGAAAATAAGAGAAGTTAGGGATTCCTTGTTAGGAGAGAGAGTGTGTGAGCAGAGCAGGGAAATGTTTGTTTGGGCTCTTTGAAAATTTAGCATATTCAAAGAAGAGGGGGTGACATGCACATCATAAGAAAGAAGCTTGTGTATAGGGCTAGATGCTAAATCATCGTCATCGTCATCGTCATCATCATCTTCATACCGATGGCTGCCACCCTTATGGGATCCAGGTACTGTTGCATGTTAACTCATTTGAGCCTCATAGCAGCCCTGTGAAATGCAGTCTAAAGGCAGAGAATGAGGGGACAGGAAGGTTAAACAGGATATCAGGATGCTGCACTAGGAAGTATGTACCTTAGATGTACCTTAGGTTGCTTCTCTTTTAGTCATGCCACCACTGTCAGAGTCCCTTTTGTGACCTAGTCCAAATAGGAAACATGTCAACTTTCACCCTCCTACACCTCCTGGTTCAAGGTTACATTTGACTTGACATTTGGGTTTTCAGTGAGAGCCAGGTGTCCTGGAATTGGTCTAATTTGTACTTAGATTAGTGTTTCCTGAACTGGTTTCCTGGGAGCGCTCTTCCACAGTGTGTAAATATGTGTCTAATGGAAAACATGTTCTGTAGTCAAGTATCCCAGCTGGAAGTAGGAGTTGATATTAAGAGACTGGTTGTTTCTGAATGCCTATTAAAAACGTGTCACTGAGGTTCCTGTTTTTTGATATTTTCCTTCCAGATTGCAGATTTGAAAGCAGCCAGGCAGCTTGCTTCTGAAATCACCTCCAAAGGAGCATCTCTGTATGACTTGCTGGGCAAGGAGGTAGAGTTGAGGGTAAGAGTGCTCCAGTAACAATTACTTCCTCAGCTAAACAGATTTTCAAAGATTTCTTTTTCAATTCTTTTTTTCCCTGTTCTGATTTTATTAAATTGAACCTGATTAAATGAGATAGTGTGTGGGAAAGTAATATATAGTGTTAGCTGTTATTCCTGCTTCTGGTGGGCACTGGGTCTGTTTTTATTACCTTCAACTTCTAGTTCAGGAATGGTAAATATGTGGCATGTTGAAACTTTCTCGCTTATGCAGACTTTATTGATCACAATGCTTTTCCTCGCTGAACAGAGCCTCAGCATTCTTTTCAACAAAGTGTTCTTCTGAACCATGGTTCTCAGAATGCTCAGTGGAATCACCTAGGCATCTTTAAAAACTACTGATGCCTGGCTTGCATTATGCTGTCGTTGGTATGAAATGCGACTTGGGCATGGGAGATTTTAAAAGTCTCCTGTGTGATTCTAATGCACAGCAGAGTTTGGGAACCAGTCATCTAGGCAGTCACTACAGAAGTAATGTTAACAGTTGAAATTTATTTGCAATCCTGTTCTAGCTAATGTCAAGAAATATGCTCCATCCGCTATGTTTAAGGAGCTGTTTAGGAGTGTGGCTCTGAGGATTCTCAGAGAGCTCCAGTGGAGCCTTTAAATTACCTGACATCCAGGTTGTTTCCCATATCAGTGAATCAGAACGCCTGGGGGTGAGAGCCAGGCATCCAGTTTTCAAAGATTTCCAAGTGATTCCAATGTACAGCAGAGTTTGGGACCCACTGGTCTAAGAAAAAATGGAATATTATTTCTTACCTGTAAGGATGTATGGCATTTGAAACATACATGCTCTCATCAAATGTTTTTAAATTAAGTACATTAAATTTATCCCATTCCTATCAGGTATGTCAGCCATGACTACTCTCTCACTGCCTTGCCTGTGTTCTGCCATTGCTGCTACAGTGTAATGTTATTTTTCCTCCCGCTTTTCATTCCTACCCCAAGAGCAGCCTGGAAGTGGAACACTTGGGTGCCAGGTTCCCATCCCTGCTCTTGATATATTTAACCTAGTGATTGCCACCTGCTGAAGTGTAGTTGGCAGAATAAAACTGCCACTAATGTCTAATAGATAATTTAGGTAACAAATGAGGCAAGTCCAAGCTTTCTATATTTTCTATTTATAGTGCAGTAGTACACATCTCTACACATGTTCCTAACAGACCTAGACACAAGAGCCAGTCATTTGCTATTTGCCAGTGGAGTGGTAGCTTCATTGTGAGACTTCACCAGGATTCTACTGGGGACCCTTTTAATACTGTCCTATAATGAATTAATGAAACAATCAGTGGCTGAACTGTTGCCATAGAAGCCATGAGACCCTGAATATCATACTTCTCAAATTCTGTGTACAGTCATGATCTGAGGAAGGTTCCTTAGCCATATTTGTTTTTCATACACTCAACAAACATGCACTGAGAACCAACACCAGCCACAGGCACCAAGCTCTCTCTGTGTCCTTGAATAAATCAAAATCCCTTCCCTCAGTAGTTTTCTACCAGAGGGGAGATAAGGTGCACCATGGAGTAAAGCACAAGTCAGTTTGATAAAGTGATGCGGGAACCTCATAACTGCATCCACATTAGAATCTCATGTCTCAGAAGGTCCTAGTACTGATAGGCACAAATGCCTCTCTTGATTGGCCCATGGTTAATGGTAGGGGCAGGGCCAAGGCAACTCATTTCATTGGTTGCAGTTGTCAATGGTAGGCTACTTAGACTTATAATAAAGATTGTAGAGGCCGGCAGGGGATTCAGACAGCAAGTTGAGCTGCACTTGCTTTGGGGATCACCTGAACAGAATGCAGGTAAAGAAGCAAATTTAGAAGAAAAGATGAGGGATGATAAGTTCAGTTTTGCTCCTGGTGTTAGGGGAATGTGGGGCTTCTAGCTGAAAAGGAGGCTTTGAGCCCTGGATAGAGGCCAGGTTGGCAGTAGGATTGTAGAAGACATTTGGAGAAGGTGATGGTGGAAGTGGTTTTGCATCAGAGATCCACATTGTGATGAAACTTTTAAGGACCAGTTCATAAGCCATATCTAGATCTGGGAATTGGTTTTTAGAATTTCTCTTCCGAAAATATATGTAATTTCATTTCATTATTTCCCATAGGAACTGAGAACAGAAGCAATTGCCAGACCTCTGGAAATCAATGAGACTGAAAAAGTGATGAGAATTGCAATAAAAGATATTTTGGTAAGATTATTTTGTTTTTATTTAATGTTTTTGTGCCTGGGCCTCAAAAATATTGATTCCTTGCTTCCATAAGACAGAACAAGGTAGGCCTAGTTTCAAAGAAGGGATATGTTTTTGGCGAAATGAAAAGTTTAGAGAACATTCTAAAATACTAAGGTCACTTACTACTATTATTTTTTCCCCTTGTTATAAATATTAACAATTTCTCATTAAAATTTTGTCAATTTTAATAGTTTAATAATTTTTTTAAAAATTTAAATAATTTTAGCAAATAATGCTTTATGGACTCTTCACATTTTATTTAACCAATTCCTCATTGCTGGACATTTAAATGATTTTTAGATTTTCTTAATTCTAAACAGCACTGTAATAAGTAGAATAATCACCATCCTTTACTACTTAACCATAATATATTATTATTTGCTCATCTAAAGCATTCATTTGGAAGGCAGATAGTGAGGGGGACTCCAGACTCAGACTGTTTGAGTTTGAATCCCATCACGTGACCTTAGGCAAGTTATTTAGCCTCTCTGACTCATTTTCTTCATCTGTAAAATGGGGAGAATGGCAGTGCCTGCCACTTAGGGTCCTTTGAGCATTCATTTTGACAGTGCGTGTCATGCATAGTTTCCAGTACATAGTAGGTATTCAGTAATTATTAGGATTCATTTTATTCAATAGTCTTAGGCAGGTGGGCCTTATATAAATTAGGAGTAGGCATAAAGCAAGAATTTGCTGAGAGATGTACAGAATTCTGAGATTGATATGTTTTTATAATGCCGTCATAAAATGGTAATACTCCCTGGGCAACCTAGCACAGGGAGCCAGAGCCTCAGCAGGATGAGAAGGGCAGGGCAGCCGAGATGGGGGATTGGTTACATACAGGTAGATTGAGATAAGTAAATACATTAAAGTTAATGGATCTATAGCCATGCTACCCTGAACAAGCCTGATCCCATCTGATTTCGGAAGCTAAGCAGGGTTGGGCCTGGTTAGTACTTGGATGGGAGACCACCTGAGAAGACCAGGTGCTGTAGGTGTAAAAAATAAAAAATAAGGGATTGTAAGCTGACAAGGTCCTGTACCATGGGGTACAGTCATGTCTGTGCTATTCCTGCTAAAGATTCATAATCTTAAGCTAATCAGACAAATACAAATTGGGGACATCCTATGAATGACCTGACCTGTTCACTTCAACAGTGAAAGGTAGTGAAAGTCAAGGAATGACTCAGAAGCCATTCCAGACTGATGAAGGCTAAGGAGATGTGACAATTGAATGCTGAGGGCAATTCCCGTCTGCTGTAAAGGACTTCATAGAGACAAATGGGGAAACTTGAGGGGTCTGAGGATCATATGGTGGTAGTACATCAGTGTTTGTTTTCTGTTTTGATGATTGTATTGTGGTTATGTAGAAGAAAGTCCTGATCTGTAGGAAATACACCCTAAAGTATCTAGAGGTAATAGGACATCAGGTCAGCAATTCACTAATCTAGGTCAAGAAAAAATGCTTTGTATTCTAGTTGTCATTTGTAAATTTGAAATTGTTTTAAATTTTTAAAAAATTTTAAATGATGATACTCTTGAGCTTGTCATTATTCTGGCTGAATCAATTTAACATGGTATGAATGTGCCTTTAGCAGATGAGGGCACAGTTCATTACTTGGTGAATACCTTTTAAGATATCATTTTAAAAGACAACAAAAGCAAAAATAAACAAATGAGGCTATATCAAACTAAAAAGCTTTTGCACCACAAAGGAAACCATCAACAACACAAAAAGGCAGCCTACTGAATGGGAGAAGATATTTGCAAATGATATATCCATCTGATAGGAGTTAATATCCAAAATATATAAACTCGTAAAGCTCAACATAAAAAATTAAACAATCCAATTAAAAAATGGGTAGAGGACCTGAATAGACATTTCTTCAAGGCGGACGTAACATCTTCGAAGATGGCCAACAAGATGCTCAACTTCATTAATCATAAGGGAAATGCAAATCAGCACCACAGTGAGCTATCACCTCACACCTCTCAGAATGGTCATCATTAATTAGTCAACAAACAACAGGTGTTGTCGAGGATGTGGAGAAAAAGGAACCCTTGTGCCCTGTTGGTGGGATTGTAAATTGATGCACCGACAAGGGGAAACAGTATGGAGATCCCTCAAAAAATTAGAAATAGAACTTCCACATGACCCAGCAATTCCACTTCTGGGTATTAATCTGAAGAAATAAACACTAATTCAAAAAGATATATGCATCAATGTTGTTCATTGCAGCATTATTTACAGTGGCCAAAATATGGAAGCAACTTAGGTGTTCATCAATAGACGAATAGATAAAGATGTGGTATGTATATATGTATATATATACACACACACAATGAAATATTACTCAGCCATAAAAAAGAATGAAATCTTTCCATTTATAACAGTGTGGTTGGGCCTTCAGGGTAGGATTGAAATAAGTGAAATAAGTCAAACAGAAAGACAAATACCATATGACTTCACTTATTTGTGGAATCTAAAAACAAAGTAAATGAACAAACAAAACTCATAGATACAGAGAACAAATTGATGGTTGCCAGCTGGGAAAGATGTTAGGCGTATGGGTGAAAAAAAGTGAAAGGGATTAAGAAGTACAAATTGCCAGTTATAAAAACAGTTATGGGGATGTAAAGTATAGCATAGAGAATATAGTCAATAGTACTGTAACTACTATGAACGATGCCAAATGGGTACTAGATTTATTGTTGTGATCATTGTGTAAGTTATGTAAATGTATCTAATCACTGTTGTACACCTGAAACTAATATATGTGAACTATAAATGAAAAATACATTTTAAAAATACATATAATGTTTGTAAAAAGATACCTTTTCATTGTTGGAAAATATCCATATTTGATCATTCTAAAGACAAAAGATGGATACTTAAAAGGGGTTATGAAATACAGGCCATTTATTTCAGAAAACTGGGAAAATTGTGTTTATCACATTGATCTTTCTTATTTGAGGAACAGATACCTTTTAAAAAGTCGTTTGTATTTTTGAGGTCAGAAAAATTCACTAGGTTTTAATCTGACTTTGATTCAGAGAAATAGTTGCCATCAACTTGAGTTTTTTGTTCAAAATGGAGACCCACCTTATCTTTGAGAGTGAACTCACATCTCTGCTGGTGTTTTAAAAGCACTTAACAGCAAATGGATGGTTAGCAATATGATTATTTTCATGAAAGTATCTTGGAAATGGTTAGTTATCTTAGACCAAAAAAAAAAAATTAAACCATAAACTCATTGTCAGTAAAAGTAGTTGCTTCCAAATACACTATCTCTGAAGGTCATGGAGTGTGTCTGGGCTCCTTAAGTGATTTCTTTGTGTACCCCATAGCATTTCAGAGACCAACAGGTAAACAGTCAATAAACCATTATGGTGCACTATGCATGGGCAAAGCACTGGAGGGGAGAGCCCCATCTTGGCCAGATTTGGGGAAGCAGTGCACACTCAGCTGGTGTGGTCCAGATGTTATTCTTAATGCAGCAGATTACAACTCTGAGCCCCAGGTCCCAACCTGGCCAGCTTCCCAGACACACGAGTGTGAAGACACACTGTGTTTATGTGGACAATACCCCCGCTTCAAATGAACTTGCTCTTCTTATGAGAGGATGAGAGGACGGAGAGGCCTGTGGCTTTTATCAGTGCCCTCTCATTCCCTTTACTTTCTTACTCAGCCCCCTTGCCCAAGTACTTCTGTCTCACTGTTTGCCTAGGCTCCCTCCCAAAAGCTGGTTTACACTGTGTGAAGGAGCCACTTTCTGACTTCACAGAATGGTTTCTCTGTTTATTGTAGTCTGTAGTCAAGGTTCAGTGGCCAGGGAGAGAGAAAATGAACCTTCTCTTTCAATGCCAGCAGGCTGTGAGTTAGCACGAAGACCTTCTCTTTCAATGCCAGCAGGCTGTGAGTTAGCACGAAGACCAGCTAATGTTTCTTTTCGTCCCCTCCTAAATAAAGCCGTACTTGTGTGCACATATATTCTATAAGTCAGGTATTTGTAATTACGAGAATAGCCTGAACAAGATATAAATAAAAGCAAACTAACAATTCAGAGTGATATGTAACCAGTCTAAACAAGTGAATTTGGGCTTCTCTTCACTCTGCTCATTTTGTACCCTTACTTCCCTTGCTGCTTCACTCTGTTCTTTCCATCTTCATGCATTTCCCTGGGCAGAAACACCCTCTTAGGGGGAAAATAGGGTTATAATTTTGTCTGGGCCTATGCAATGTTCCCCCTGGAAATAGTTGGTTAAATGAGTGATGACTTTGGGGAGGGTTTGCTTTGTTTGCTTTTCTTTTCTTTCTTTCTTTTTTTTTTTTTTTAGCATGACGTTTCTTTTCTTTCTTTCTTTCTTTTTTTTTTTTAGCATGATGTTGCTGTGCCTGAGTTGAGAAATTCCTCTCCTCCAAGAATCAGGTTGGGCAGTTCTTACTGGTACATTGTCTCATTCATTTCCTATTAAATGTAGGCACAGGTTCAGAAGACTAAAGACCTACTCAATAACGTGGCGTCTGACGAAGCTAATTTAGAAGCCAAAATTGAAAAGAGGAAATTAGAACTGGAAAGAAACCGGAAACGACTCCAGACTCTGCAGAGTGTCAGGTAGGTGTGAACACTTGAAGAATAAGTAGAAAACTGTCTTTGAAAGTTCAAACAGACTGAAGGAATGTGTTGTCAGTGATATTAACCGTTCAAGCAGTGGAAGAAGCCTTGCATAAATCTGTTCCTACTTCAGAATGTCCCCATGTTGCTTGTTCTAACAGGCACACCACTAAACTCATGTCTTTGCTGCTTTCAATATGTCTGGAAAACTGCTTAATTCTTCAACCTCCCTTCCAGCTTTTATAGCTTCTTGGAACGTAAGACAAAGGAGGGAAATCCAGATGGTGGAAGTTCTACAAGGCTTGATCTCCTAAGATCTGTGCTTTGCCATAAATTAGGTGGAAACAGAAACATACTCTCATTTCTTGGTTTAAGTAGATCTAGACTTTTATAATTCCTCATCAGTAATTCATTTTTTCTTCTGACTTTCCCTCACTGAAAGTCCCTTTACCAGGGAATATGAATGGATGATGGTGGTGTAAAACACCTTCTCGGTCATTGGAGCCTTTCAGGTGTATTCCTTACATTTTCTTCGAATATGCTTTAATGCTCACACTCTCTCCCCCTCTCCCCTGCCTCTCTGTCTCTTCCTCTCCCTCCCTCCCTCTGCCTCTACCTCCTCCTCCCCACCCTCTCCCTCTCATTTTGTACCCTTACTTCCCTTGCTGCTTTTTGGTTGTTCTTTCTCTCATGTAACTACTCTTTCTCCCTTTTCAGTCACCCTTTATTTTTCTCTCTACTCCTGTCCCTATCCAGCTGCTGCCTCTGCACTGAGTGTATCTTGCTCTTTTGAGATACTGGTAATTGGCCCACACTCTGGCTACTGTCTTGAGATCTGTGGGAAGGTAGCACCTGGGGACAGCTGACAGTTTACCCAGGGAGCATCAAAGGCTTCCTCTCAGCCAAGGGCAGGACCTCGCCCTTTCCGCCTCTGGAATCCGTGCTCCTGAATCTGAGACAAATAGGTTTGTCTCATGAAAAAGTTCTGCCTTTTAAGCATAAATTCGTTTTTGTTAAACTTCAAATTCTTTTAATAGAAGAGTCTCTGTGTTTTGCTTTCATCCAAAAGATTATAAATTTTATTTGTTTATTTATATTTTAAAAAGAACAGAGATTTTCCTTTAGGATCAATAAGAGGAAAAAATAATTCAGCAAAACCAGTTGAAACGGGTTTTAATGGTATGGTTTTAGTTTTCAATTTTATATTATTTAAAAACTTAGCTTTTATTTGTAGCCACCTATATTCCCTTTTTAGAGGACTGATTAAATTTTGGAATATCTAGAAGCAGAATATTATGCCCAATTAAGATAATGCATATATTTAGTATTGATTTTGAGAGATGTGTATGGTATATGATAATTTTTAAATCTTTAGTGAAATTTATGGAATATTTAGTGAGAGAAAAGACTACAAAACTTCATTTAACATAATATACTTAATGTTTGTTAAAAGATGCATTCCTATATTTACGCATAGAAAAGTCTCGAAGGATGTATGTCAAGTGTTACGTGCTTATACCTGGTAAATGAGTAATTTTTACTTTTCATACTTTAAGGATTATTTTAAGTATTTACAAAAATCGTATCTTTTTAATTTTAAAAAGGTATATTCATTTTAGGGGAGGGAAGAGAAAAGAGGGAATTAGCTTTAAGAAGTTAGAAGAGTGAAACACCTTCTCCATCCACTTCAAGGCTTTCCAAAGAAAACTGGTGGAATCTGAAACTCGGAATATTAATTTCAAGCTACTGTATATCGATTATTATTTCATTTGGTCATTCTAGGCCAGCCTTTATGGATGAATATGAGAAGATTGAGGAAGAATTGCAAAAGCAATATGACATTTATCTAGAGAAATTTAGAAATCTAGCTTATCTGGAACAACAACTCGAGGATCATCATAGGATGGAGCAGGAGAGGTTTGAGGTAAGTGCTTAGGCCATTCTTCTCTACAGACCTTTTCTTCTGGTGTGTTATTTTGTACTTGTTTGACATGTCAGTTTGTAAATATCATTGTGAAAAAAAAATCAGTGAATGTTTGATAATTAGTTTATCAAACTAATCTTTGCTATTAGTTTATCATCAGAGTTTGGTCTATTAGGACTTACAGACAGGGCTGACATGTGATGTGTACAGTTGCACAAGACTTTGAACTTAGAAGAGCCTTTGCTTTCTTTAATGTTTTGCTCTCGCTGTCTTGAAATTCTTAATAATTTTTAAGTGTGTTTTAAGTGTGTTTGCGCTGAGTCCCACACATTATGTAACTGGTCTTAAGTACAGATTTAAAAACATGCTTGGTCAGTTTACTTAAAAAATTTCAAGGCCTGGTTAATTGAATCATCCAATCTAGCTTATCAGAGACTGCTTTGTAAAGAAGAATTGCAGTTCATTGATTATTCTGGGAAATATATATTACCCAGAACCTGACCAGCTGTCTTACAGGTTCCCCTCATCCAGTGTTTAAGGCCATTTAGGAAGGAGTATTTCAAATCTCACTGTGAGTTGATAAATATGGAATTCAGAGCAAAGGAAGTAGGACCAAGTTGTTCTCACTGTTTAAATTGTCCTTATCCTATAGGGATATTTCTGCTTAACCCAAGAATAGTCATTTGGAATCTTGTTCATGGTGAAATTGGTCTATAATCTCCCTTTCTCACACTGTCTCTGCTAGCTTTTGATATAAAGGTTATGCTAGTCTTACAGACCTGGATGTTTGAATTAGATGAAGCCATTTTGCTGTCCAGAATGGCTGGCTGGTAGTAACTATCACGTTCGTATGAACATGTTTATCTTGATAAAGAACCCATTGACCACCATTGCTGTATGGCAGAGGTGGGCTATGGAGGAACGGGGCACAGGACAACACGTTTTGAAGGCTGTGGAAAGAGCCTGGAGTTCACGACATTTTAAACATCGGGTGCCTAGGAAAGAACACTAAAGGGCGAGTGAAAATCAACTGACCATTTTGTACTATCATCTGGGGCCACCCCGGGTTCAGAGAACCACTGAAGAATATGCTTCAGGCTGCACGTTCTTCCTTTAGCAAGTACTTACCCTTTTTTTCTCCTATGGCCACACCTACTCTTTGTGCTTCTAATTCCTGGTCCCTCAAAATATCTCATGTGTGAAACACAGCGCTTTCTCTTTAATGTTTAGAACAATAACAGAATTTTAAAGGCTAATTTCCTCTCCCATTTTCTGTTTTGACAATAATCAGGGCCACAGTTTGTAACCTAATTGAAATACTAGCTTTTTTTTTGTCCTCTAGGAATTAAAGTTAGCATTTGTTTTTTTCCCCATCCTCATTAGCATCTTTCAGGGATGGAATTGTGCAGGGAAGAAAAACAATAAAATTCATGCTTTATTCTTTTAAGAGCACGAGACCTCAACTGCCCATAGTTGATGCATCTGTTCCTGTGTCAGCATCCCATGCAGGCACACATGATGGGCATTTTGTTGTGTCATTCAGTTTTCTTCAGAGGCAGTGAAGGTGTAGTGGGAGAAACATGGGTCTGGGGGCCAGTCAGGCCCATTCTAGGCCAGTTGCGTCCCTCGTGGGAGCCTCCCTTTCCATAGTGCTGCTGGGATGATTACAGAGGGAAAGGGTGTCCAGTTTCCCAACTGTAGCAGTTGCTCAGGCAGTGTTCTCTTCCCCCTCTTTTTGTTTAGATCTTTTTTGGTTCTATATCACAAACTTAGCAGTACTTACTCAAATGGTAAAGAATAAAAAAAATAGTCCCTAAAAGGGTCATCTCCTCTGAATATTGTTTTTCCTGTTTTATAGGAAGCTGAAAATACTCTCCGTCTGATGCAGAACAAGCTGAAGGAAGAAGAAAAGCGATTGCTTAAGAGTGGAAGTAAGTCTACACTTTCTAAATAGATGTGTTTATTCTGGAGTAGTATTTTAGCCTTGAAAATTTTATATGTATATTTTATTTATTTTCAAAAGGCAATTTTCTCACAACTTGTATGTCAGATACCATTTTAATTCACTCAAGAGCTGAAGAGACTGGTTTAAATTACATAGCAGTTAAAGCACATTTGGTTTTCATTTCCAACTAAAATTGTGTTTTTCCCTCTTTAAGTGATAATTAAGTGATGATATATAACTATAAAAGAAAATTTGGTCTTGGAGGTATGTAGAGTTCTTTATTTTAGGAAAGACTGATGAAAAACAAGCATCGTAATGCAGTGCAAGTGAATAGGTCACTTGCTTAAAAATAGTCCCCCTCACCGTACACACCCATCTTCAGCAAGGCTATTTATTACCTTTAGAGAAATGGGGGTTGCCTACATATGAGATCTAGATTCTGAGAAGGAATGTTCTCCATGACTGGTGAGCACACTTCATTCGTGAACTTCACCAGGGTATCAGCTGTGGGAGTTGTAGCAGTACATGATCTTCCTGTAGAATTGATGGCTTTGTCTCATAGAGTTACCTCGCTTCTTGTTTATTGCTCTCTTTTTTTTTATTATGATGAATTATCTTATTCTCTCATGCTTGAGGGTGGTATACCTGGAACACCAGGTGTGCTTGGTCACGCATGCAATTCCCTCTCCCCATCGCTCGCTCGCTCTCTCACTCTCTCACTCTTTCTGTCTCTATCTTTTCCCTTTATACCTCTTTCCTTTTGTACTTGGACTATGCCTCTCTCTCCTGAATCTCAGGAAACTCTGGAAGGAGAATAGGGACTGCTGAGAAATCCTCTAAGGCAGGGGTCCCCAACCCCCAGGCCATGGACTGGTAACAGTTCACGGCCTGTTAGGAGCTGGGCCGCACAGCAGGAGGTGAGCAGTGGGCGAATGAGTGGAGCTTCATCTGTATTTGCAGCCGCTCCTCAGCACTAGCATCACTACCTCAGCTCCATCACAGATCATCAGGCTTTAGATTCTCATGGTGCACTGGCCCCTGGTGCCAAGAGGTTGGGGACCACTACTGCTCTAAGGGTAAGTTTAGGAAATTCCAAGGGCCTCTCTAGCCAAAGCAGCCCCTCACTGTTATGATTCCAGGTCATCTAGGAATGCCCAAAGCAGCCCTAAGTGATAGGCCTGCCTGGAATCCATCCCCTCCTGGGAGGCCTGGCACAGATAAGAACTCTGGTTGGTTTGTTTTATCTGACTCTACCACCAGGACAGCATGTTAAGACTTTTCTCACTGATCTTGCTTTATTCTTCTGAACTGACTTTCATTTTGTGATCCATAGGTTTCGGATCTCTTGAAGTACAAAGATTCTTATGAGCATGTGCGATTTAGTTTTTCAGAAAAATTTCCAGTTTAAACCAACCTAATGAAAGATAGCATGTAATTAGCTTGGGGTGGGCAAAGAAGTTAGGAAAATATTTATGATAGTTAATGAAATGGAGCATCTTTTCATGTGCTTATCGGTTATTTGTATCTTTTTTTGGAGAGCTATCTAGTCCTTTGCACATTTTAAAATTTGGTTGTTTGTCTTTTTATTGAATTTTAAATGTTCTTTATTCCGAATACTAGAATATATAAAGTATTTTTAGTTGATTTAAGAGATTTGTGCTTTGCAAATAATTTCTCTCATTTTCCAGGTTATGTTTTCACTTTTTCGATGTCTTTTGCTGTACAAAGTTTTAGTGAGGTCCAGTATGTCAATTTTTTCTTTGGTTGCTTGTGCTTTTAGTGTCATATCTAAGTAAGAAACCACTGTCTAATTCAAAGTCACCAAGACTTACTCCTGTTTTCTTGTATGAGTTTTATAGTTTTAACTCTTACATTTTGGTCTCTGATCCATTTTGAGTTAATTTTTGTATATAGTATGAGGTAAGGATTCATTCTTTTTCATGTGGCTATCTTTTCTTGCCCCATTGAATTATACGACCACAGTCTTCCACTGTACTTAAATTTTAACATGTTACTGACAACTTTGTGATTTTAGTGTCAGCATGCGTTAGCTTTTTAGTTTACCTGCTTAGTCCTCAGTCTATTGCTTTGAGTTGTCAGGAGAAATCATATTGAGCCTGAGATACCTGCATTAATGTTGTTTTAAAATTCATGATATCATTTGATTTTTGTTGCATTGGGTATGGATTTAATGTCATAATTTCCCTGGATGAAGTAAAAAGCAAACTAAGCTGAACATCAATTCATTTTGTAGTCATTAATTTTTAATATTTAGTCATATCCTCTGTAAGGGCTTTTGTAAAGTGGTAGTTTTCAGATCGATTGTGTTGAAGTCTTGCAGGATGCTGTTATTGACACTTTTTCTGGCTCCCAGATTTGCCCCTCTGTGCTCTAGAGCAGAGTAATTCTCTCCATGGCTAAAGAAAGAAAATTCTCCCTCAGGGCCCAGCTACATGCAGCTGCCATTTCATTAACTTCCTAGAGCAGGGACTAAGCAAAGCCTTTTTGTAGATGAACACTTACTATACTTCCAAACTGACTTATGAGTCAGTGATCAGAGCAGCAACTGCAAACTCCCCCAGTTCCATCCTTAAAACCTGCGTGCTTCCCTAGGCACAGAGCAGTCAAGAGCTGGGAGGTGAAAGTGCTTTCTCCCCACTGTGGAAACTGTCCTGTAGGTTTCCATTAGGAAATGGTAACCTGCACAAAAATCCAAAAGAGTGTTTAAGACATTAATGTAAATGGTCGTGGCATTGAGAATGACCTTTCTTTATATGTCTTTATAATGGAATTTTTTCCAGTAAAGAATATCATGAGCACCAGTTTTCATTGCCAATCACTAGGTCACCATCTTTCTCAGGCCAGCCTCACTCAGGCTGTTCCTAGCCTGGTTTCCTTCTTGCCTCCAGTATTGATGCAGTCACTTACCTTTTCATCGGGATCTGTTTCATCTTTGTTATCCTCGAGGAGTTTGAGTTCTGGTAACACAGCCTAAGAATGAACAGAGAACGTTTTTCCAACCAACTAACCAAGAACTGTCAGCCACCTTGACAGCTGGCTATTCACTTGTTTAGGTTCACATACTGGAATGGTGTTTCTATCACATATCTGACCTACTTTTTTTCTTGCTTTGGAAAATTGTTTAATAAAACAAACCAGCCTATCATCTGCATTAACTTTTCACTAAGTATCTATCAGCAAATCCTGAGAATCTCATAAAATCTAATGCATCAAACGAAAGGCTGAGGAGGAAAAAAAATGACATACATGATAGAGGCTCCATTCGTTCCTCTGGTGACCAAATCAAAGTACAGAAACAAGGAGCAAACAGCAAGGAAAAATCACCTGGGATCTAGATGAACAAGCCATACAACTAAGGAGAAATCTAAGAAATCACCCTGCAATGGCAAAAGTTAGTATGGGACAAGGACGTGAGGCTGCTCAGTCGGTCCCCAGCGGCTGAGTGGGACAGAGGCTGTGGCAACCGGCAGTTGCAGACACCTCTTAAAGGGGCCGCACCCACGAGCAGACTTTTGTGCTGACGGACTCGCTCATTCTGAGCACTGGTGCCAAGTTGGCTGCTACGGGAGGCTCCAGGGACTTACAGGGGGACACTGAGTTGTTTTGTGAGGGCCGGAAGTGAGGATCTCTCTCAGAGAGAAGTGTGGCTGGTATCCATTATTCCTCTGTTGAACTCTCCTGCCTCCCAGTGTGCAGACACAGCACTGCCATAGCCGAGATGTCATCAAACTGGATAACAGAAGTCACTCTGCCCAGAGGATTCCCTGAAACTCCACCTCCCCCAACTCTTGGCGTCACCTAAGACCCATCCAAGTATGTCCTCGCTTAGTAGGTGCCCCTTGCTGAGCAGCGCCAAGACTCACACTGGTGGCAGTTGGCCTTGGTTTCTGGTGTGACCTTTTGAGGCAACTATAAGCACAGCATCTGTAGATTGCTTGCTGAATCTTAACAAGTGGCCCTGAAGGAGCACAAGCTGGGGTAAATTTGGCCTTCAGCTGAACCTTTCTCAGGTCTGTGCCACTGGACACTTACCACACAAAGCCCCACTAATAAAACTGGAGACTTAAGAGCTTTGCTTAGTATATAGAAACAGCACAAAAAGGCATTTAAAATGAGAAGACAAAGAAGCAGAAACCACATGAGAGAACAGAACAGAGATCCAGGAATAATGGAGCCAAGCAATCTAATAGATACAGAGTTCAAAACACTGGTTATAAAGATGCTCAATGATCTTATGGGAAGTATAGATGAACTCAGTGAGAAGTTCAACAAAGAGATAAAAAACATAAAAATGGAAATGGAAATTATAAAAGGGAACCAGTCAGAAATGAAGAACACATTATCTGAGATGAAAAGTATATTAAATGGAATAAACAAAATGAATAAAGATGAGGATCAAATGACCCATATTGAGGATGGGAAAGCCAAAGACACTCAATCGGAATGGCAAGAAAAAAGAAGCCAAGACTATAATAATAATTTAAGGAGCCTATGAGACACTATTAAAGGTAAAGATATCCATGTCATAGGGGTACCTGAAGGAAAACAAGATGTTGAAGAGCTATTTGAAGAAATAATGATGGAAAACTTCCCAAACCTGGTGAAAGAAATAGACATACAACCGCAGGAAGATCAGAGAGTCTCAAACAAGATGAACCAAAGAGGACCACAGCAAGACACATCCTAATTAAAAGGCCAAAAGTTAAAGACAAAGAAAGAATCTTAAAAGCAATTATTACCTACTACAAGGGAACTCCCAGAAGACTGGCAGCTGATTTCTCAAGAGAAACTATGCAGGACAGAAGGGATTGGCAGTAAATATTCAATGTGATGAAAATCAAGGA